ATCATCCCCTACTTCATCACCCTGGGCACTGAGCTGGCCCAGCAGCAGCAGCAGAAGCAGCAGCCCGGGAGCAGCAGCAACAATGGGGGCCAGCAGCAAGCCATGTCCCTGGCCATCCTCAGAGTCATCCGCCTGGTCAGAGTCTTCAGGATCTTCAAGTTGTCCAGGCACTCCAAGGGGCTGCAGATCTTGGGGAAGACTCTCCAGGCCAGCATGAGGGAGCTGGGCCTCCTCATCTTCTTCCTCTTCATTGGGGTGATCCTCTTCTCCAGTGCTGTCTACTTTGCAGAGACTGATGACCCCGACTCCCTGTTCACCAGCATCCCTGATGCTTTTTGGTGGGCGGTGGTGTCCATGACCACCGTGGGCTATGGGGACATGTATCCCATGACAATTGGTGGCAAGATTGTGGGCTCCTTGTGTGCCATCGCGGGTGTGCTCACCATTGCCCTCCCGGTCCCTGTCATCGTGTCCAACTTCAACTACTTCTACCACCGAGAGACTGATCACGAAGAGCAGTGCCAGTACACCCATGTCACCTGTGGCCAGCAGCAGTCACCCTTCTCTGAGCCCAAGAAGGGGGACAGTAATCAGTCTCTCAGCAAATCTGAATTCCTGGAAGCAGAAGACCTGGAGTCCATGAAATATTCCAACTTCATTCCTCCCAACAACCAGGGTTATAAAGAGAAGAAAATGCTGACAGAGGTGTGATCGGTTTTGTTACCCTGGGTCCAGAAATGGAGCTGCAAGCTGCTGCACAGCCGTCTTCCTACTAGCAGCTGGATCTATTCAGCATTTACATGCCAGACTGTGAATTGTGATACCGTAAACAGAATGATTGTGATAATGGGCTCTTCTGTCCCGATTTGCTGTTTCTCATTACCGTGTGCAGCCAGAAATGTTCTTGCTTTGTTCCGTGGAGCGCTAGCTGTCATCCCCGCCTCCCTCGTGAATTTCTTTGAAGACTGCTTTCATCCAACATTTGCTCTGAAACCGAGCCTTTCTACTCCACTAGCAGAGAAGCCCTTGCCACTACTTCAGCTGAAGGATTCAGCGGGGAGTAAACAGTTAAAGGGCTACAAACATCTGGCTCTAGCCGTGCCCTTAGCTCCTGTGCCAGCGCAGTGCCCTTGGCTGTGGACTCAGTCACGCCTGCCATGCCATCGCCTTTGAATAATGGAAACGCTGCAGCCAGCATCACAGGGAGTTCTGCAGCTGTAGGGGACAGTCAGCAAGCAGATGCCTGCCTTCTTTGCAACCCTTGGCATGCTAAAGATCCTCTTGGTTTGTGTTTCAAACAAGGTGCAGAGATTTAAAAGCTACTTGTGACCATTTATCAAAAACAGGCTTATAGAAATCAACAGGCTTGGTGAAGATTCTCTGTGTTTTGAGCTTTTTTTCAGCCTTATTTATGCCAGTGCCCTGATGTTAATTGGCCTTTATAGTACCAACTTAATCTTCATAGTGGTAGGTGCCTTCTGATGCAAGGCACGTTTGAGTAAATCCATTTGTTATCTCCGCAGTTTATTGCCACACAATAGCGTTTAATGAGCTGTACTTTATGCTTCAGATCTCCAGTTCTGTATTCAGGCACATGTGAGAGCAATTGACTCCACTGCATTTTTAGTGAAGCGTTTGTAGAGCTGAGGGAAGTTTGCATGTTGGTATTTTGTTGACATTGCTGAAAAACCCTGACCACAGAGATAGTTGTACCTGTGCTGTCTGAAGATTGGACTGATTTAACAGGTCACAGGCATAAATCGCCCCAGGGTAAGTGTGTCAACATTGGAGACTGAGATCGGCACGGAGGCAAACTTCCCTAAGCCATCTGCACAAACCCAACAGCATATTCCAGACCTTTCAAATGAGGGGAGAAACAGCTAGCCTTGAAGAGATGCTTTTTGCATTATTACTGGTCTAGCCAGTTCTTGCTATTTCATGGACAGAACTCACAGCAACATCTTTCGCATGCACTAGGTTTTATGAGAGCAACTTACGCTAGCAATGCAAAACGCATACCTTTGCCTGCAGTGCTGGGTTTGCCAAGGGACCAGAGATTTGCATCTTAACATGCACGTTTTGCTTCCCAGATAATTTAATTTCTTTAATCAGCTCTCCTTACACCTAACTTTAAAATGTTTCACATGCTGCCAGTGGGTGAGAAGGGGAAATGGTTGCTTTCAGATTCTATTGGCAAATTTTCCTGCAAGGGAAAGTCTTTCTAGCTTTAAATCTAAGTGTATATTCTGCATTCACATGTGTGCATGTGTATGAAAGCAAAGGCAACCATTAATGCCTTGCATCATACTGTATGATATGCATAGTAGAATGTACTACATATTGCATGTGACACATGTAATACATAAACCAGACATAATATCAAGATGCAAAATATATAGAGTACATTCTATGTATATATTATGCTTTTCAGCCATACGGCTAAAAATGCTAAAGGCGTATACTTTAACATAGTCGGAATTGGCTATAGAACTGGTCGTGAGATGGGATCTGTTTTCATCTTCATTACCCTGCTTGTTTTTTTGTCGTCCTGAGATCTGGCTCCATGCCTTGAGTGCTTTTATTGTGGCCTCTCCTCATCTGGGCCCTGATCATACAGTAGAAGTCGTTTGTGTAAATCCTAACTGCTGCATTTCTCCAGAGTCCCATTGTCTTCTCAAAGGTGTTTAGCGGTACAGGGATCTCCCTTGGGATCAACGCACAACCATTATAGGAAAAAACTCGGTTCGCTCTCTTGCTGAAATCAGTAGCAAAATGCCACTTGTCTCAGTTACTGCAGGTCAGTCTGGGAGACACAAGTGTGACGTGGAGAGGGCTCTATAGCTGAGAGGAGTTTGCCTGAATACATAGGTGCCTAATTCCTCCTTGGTTCATTGGGAAGGAGACAAATGTCTGCGAAGGTCTGGGCCTTGGGAGCCGTTCTGCATCCCTTGAAGCATGTAACCGGCTGGTGGGTAAGTAATCCTGGTGAATAAGTGGGATTGAGGAAGGATCAGCACGGTGGCATCTCTGTTGATTTTGTGTGAAAAAGTTGTCTTGGTCATTGAGTTAATTCAGCAAAAAGCTGTTGTTCTTAGTTGTGTTTCAGGGTCACTATAACGAAATCTTTTCTGTGAGTGCAAGAGGGTGACTTTTCTTCAAATTTTATGTTGCTTTAGCAGATGCACTAGAAACTAGCAAAAGAACCTGCTATTTAAGAGGGATGTTTCAAGGCTGCTGTTGTCTCCTAGTGAAATGCCCATGTTTGGGGTTATTTTATGCCTGAGTGTATCAGCTGATAAAAGTTTCCCCAAAGTAAGATATAAAAAACTCAGGTTAAGCGCAAGTTCAGGAGGAGGCATGAGACACACTGAGCCTACGTCAGAAAATTCCTCTGCTCATTTCTTCCCTTGGGTCTGACCCCGTTGCCTCTGCCAGGCAGGAGCCCTCCCTGCTTGGAACAGGTTGTTTTCCCAACAACAGCTGGGCATGGAGACTCTGGCAAAAAAAGATGTGAGACGAATTACTGGTAACATAATCCCAGTGTGTCTTATAAAGATGCTCTTGGAAAGAGATTTCCTGCTCTCGAGTGAAATTCAACAGTGAGTTTCTAGCTGGAGTGTTGTGGCTTTTGAAAATCTCCGTACAGACATGTGCGCACGCAGATGCATCCACAAAGGACTTCTGCGAAGGAACTTTATTGCAAACAAGCAGCTTTGTGCAATTTTTGTGGTCTACGTTTTTCAGCCCTGAAAAAAAGGAAGTGAAAAATGAAAATGTGTAAAACAGGAGTGGCATTTACTCCCTGGGTTTTCTGTGTTAGAGCTAAGTACAAAAAGCCAACAGCAGCTTGGGAACTGTAACCTAGGGACTTTCCTTTGGGCATGTAAATCCTTCTCTAAGCATCTCCTGAAAAGCAGGGCAGAGAAGTTCCAGAGTCATCAGTAACACTATATATTATAGAACTTCTGGAATTTGACATTTTTATTAAGAAGCCCTCAGATTTATTTTTTTTCAAGTGACTGAAGTGACATAGTGGCACCCGTGCCATTGACTTTACAGAGGACTAGTGTTGCCAAATCACAGAGATGCTTTCAAAAATCTTACCCCAAGTTCTCAGCCCTTAGTGCTCGCTCCTGGATGTTCGAAATACAAATCTATCTGGCTGGCTATTTCCTTCTGAAGGCAGAGCACATCCTTGTGAAGCAAAGTAGGCACCTCCAGGGACTTGTTTCCATAACAACCTCCCAGACTATTTCTCTCTACCCTGTGACTGTGGCTACAAGCAAAAGCGCTTGTCAAACATTTTCAGTTTTCGGATATTAGCACCTTATCTTTACAGCTGTTTTCTTTGCTTGCTGAAGGTGATCCCATCGCCTTATATCACATACAGCCAACCTGTCCAACTTCAGACAGATGGTTATCAGCATTTGAAAGCAGAGAGTGCAAACCAGGAGAGATGGGAAGGGATTTTATTTGTATATACTTGCATGCAGAGAGGGGGGGAGTGTGTGAAAGACAATCTGAGCGCTCACAGTCAGAGCTGTGAGGCGACTGGCCTGTGAATGTAGAGTCATTTGGGTTCCCGGTGACAAGGAATACAAGCTAAAGCATCACGTTAAAAACCCAGAAACTCCTCTTTCAACAATCTCACTAGGAAATAGTTTTGCTGTGGAAGAGACGATTGCTCCCTCCTGAACCCTTGGCTGTTCTGTGTCAATTAGTTCCCCGGGTAATTTTCCCACAGGATGTTTTGCACCAAAGCAGGACAGGGCAGAAATCATCTTGTTGGAGGTGGGGAAGGAAGGAAAGGAAGAATTTTACTGAGGACACCTTTTTTTATCCACAACACATCAACCACATAAAAGACTGTAAGTGTGAAAAGCATGAAGAGCTGTTTTGTGGTGTTTCAAAGTCTACCTTACTGGTGGATTCCTGCTCTTACCTCCAAGATGAAATTCTTATTCTGTTCCTGTTTGGAAAATGTCACGATTTGGGATTTCTGAGCAATTTTCTGTTTTGGCACTGTTCCTTTTGATCCAGCTTTCATGGATAAAAATTCACTGCTACAGCAGCTGTGGGGGTGAAGGTGACTGGACTTGGTGTTCAATCCTAGGCCCTCTCGTTCAACATACAGAGATCCCTGTGGAGATAAAGAAGAATGAGTATAAAGGAAATTCAGGGCAGCAAGAGACAGGGTAAGGACTGAAGTGTCTTCCATACTGTGATGGAAAGAACAGCATCAACCCTAAAAGCAAAGGAACAAAGAGCTCCAGCGTCTGCTGTTAGAGCAGAAGTAGGTAAGGTTTCTTTTTCTTCTGTGGAATTAACGACTAAGAGTTTCTTGCAATTAATGAGGAAGGATTTCCTAATTAAGATTTGCAGCCTAAAGGGAGAATCTGGTTCTAGGTGAAGAAAGAAAGATAATTATAACCTACAAAAATATAGTATGAGCCAGATCCTCACCATCTGCTGATTCAAGTTGGCAAAACTCCATTTAGTACAACTACCTTGGTTTATATTGGGCTCCAACTTCAATCTTCTGCATCAAGTCAACCATTACATACTATTTGTTAAAATGTTTTTTTTTTGTTTGTTCTTTTCTTGAGGTCCTGTTTACATCAGGGAAAGATCTGCAGATTACAGCAGGAGTGAACCGCAGCTTTCCCAAAAGATGTCATCTGACTTGAGTCCGAGTAAGTCTACCAAACTCAGCAAAGTTAAGCTTCTCTAAGTTTATGTGGACAAAAATAAGAGCAGCAGCATTTTATTATTTTTTTTTCTCAATGGTGGAAGTGTGCAGACAAATTCATAGAGCAGTTTAAGACTAAACGAGATTCTGCCCTCAGCTGCAGCCCTGTAAGCACAAGATAGCTCTATTTACATTGCTGTAACCGAAAGCACAGTCTGAGCTCTTCATCTTTGCTCTTTGGAGCTCACAGTCGAGACAAATCCTATTCTGAAGACATTTGTAGCCATATTATCAGCAGGCTCACAGTCGAATCCCTGACTTCCAGTCATCTGCTTTACACATAAAGTTAAGGAGGGGAGCAGGTGCTAGCAGGATGAAAAGACTTAATCCTCTGATAAAATGAACCAGGGAACGCTGAGTGTCCTTAGCTGCCACCAAAGACAGTTGGTGATGAAATTGCCTGCCAATTACAAGAAGGCGCTCTTCTTGTGCAGGACCAGGTCCTAAGTAAGGCAAGCCCCTAGTCAGGGAGATAAACCCAGAAGAATGTTTTTGGGGGAAACCAGACAAGGACTGCAGTAACATTGATTTCCAGTGGAGCTTACGCTGTTA